CATCTGTTTACACCAATTATTGTTTACCATAAACGGACTCTCGTTTTCCATCAACGCAAAGAAGTCCTTGTCACTTCCCAACTTTGCTTTTCAGATCCAGAAATCTCATGTCAGAAACATTTTACCTCGGAAAACTTTGAACGTCTGCCTACTGTTTTTGGAAGCTGTGTGAGCGTTATTTTTGGCTGCCTATGCAAAACGTCCAGTTACTGAATTCCCGTTCCAGTTACCTCCCTATTATCTGGTATCGGACATGGGCGGATGTAACTCGCCAAAGTACCTCTAACGCAGTCATTTTTTCCGCCTGGAGTTGAGGAAGGTGTTTGGCGGTCTTCTTGAAAATTTTTAGTTCTTGATACTTTGCGGATCCCGGCGACACGCCTCCCAGACCAGTGAGCTTGTGGGAGGCACACATCTATAAACATCAGTTACTCTAAGTCGGTCCATAATCTCTTAATTCTGCCGTAAAGGCGTTCTGTAAATCACTTTCTCTAGGCTTGGTGAGTTCCGTCTGAAAGTCGCGCAGAAATTCACATTTGTATTTATAAGGCCGTTTAATTTCAATTAAAATTTTACCCTGCATGGATAAGCATTTTTGTTGGATGTAACCCTTGAAGGCGGCCGGAATGGCGTGAGTCGAAATCCGACCACCTGGACTGACGGAAATACCTCGGTAATCAACATTGGAAGCATGCCTAAGCAAAGTATTCGGTAGGACTGACTTATGTGGCCCCCTAAACAGGAACCGCCTGCTCTGCGGGTGGCTTTGAGCCAACTTTCAGTTAAATTAGGGTTAAGATTAGGTTTAAGGCTATATCTAAATTTATCAGTACGGTAAGTCAGGATCAAGTTTATGACCAAAGTAGGGACTAGTGTTAACTGCAGTGTTAAGGTTTAGGATCGGGTTGGGGACAAAATTAGGGTAACAGCCTACTTATTGTTGGGGTTAGGACACAGGAGTATTTTGCCCTTTCTGAAATTATGTGCAGGTCCGCCTTTATTAGTTAGGCGGGGCGTACCTATTGCTATGTCATGTTTGGGGGGCCACACAAGTCAGTCCCGCCAAGTTTTTTAAGCCAAATTCGCACTTCAGAGCTTCCCCTAGTATTCCATTAATTACAACACCCATTGCAAGCCCGACAGTATCATCCTTTGACTTGTTGCCAGCGGGTCGTTTGCCTCGTTATTACGTATTTGTAGTAAGGGTTTTCCATTGTCGAGCGGTTTGACTTCAGAGGGTTGAAAAGCTGAGTTCTAAAGCTGCTTACAATGGCATGCCCACTGCTGTTGATTTTCATCGGCTTACGTTTCGAGGAAAATATAAGTAGCATTTGCGTCTGCTAACCTTAGGCCATTTACCTTAGGACATTCACAAATGCAGTGTGGAAATAATTTCTCTTAGTACATAAAGTTAATCTGAGACGAGGTCGTAAAATATACTTGGACCCGAGTATCTGCGTAATTTTATGGGCATCAGATGTTGCACCTTATTTGAATCTGCCCTGTGATGCATTGCTCAAAGTGCATGGGCCTCCCTGAAGTGGCACGGTGGCACACATGATCCCCAATGGCATGTCCACGAAAGGAGCTCAAGTGCGCGGAATGAAAGCCCATTTGAAGCGACTGCGACTTGTTCACGTGACGTGCGGCGACGTCCATCACCTTCCCATATTCTCTCTGACCTTGCTGACAGAAAAGCATACTTGTACAAATGGATGCCATCAAAAGAGGCGGTCTCTTAACGGACGGTGGTGATGCATCACGTTCAAATGTGTAGCCAGCTAAGGAAATGAGTGCTGCCGTCAAGCTCTTCTCGAGCAAAGCTTAACTTAATATGAGCTTTTGAGCGAGAGGTCTTTGTCCAACTGACCTGACTGCCAGTTGACTTTTCGTTCGCCCAATACACTTGCGTCCATAAGTGCAGTCAACTAAGTTGAGCGCCCGCCTAAATGGCTTCTGCTGCGGGAAAATAAAATCCCTCGCTTTTCTATCACGAAACACCTAGACGGCGGCCACTCCAACGACTCTTAAGCATTCATCTGTGTACATGTTCGGGCACGAACAACTCGGGCGTTGCGCTACCAGGAAGCAGTCTACCTACAGCGGGTGAAACCCTACCTGTCCAAACAGCTAGACTACATGGTCAACCTCACTTTGTTCTGGTAATCCCTAGTCTTTAGATTCACGCAGCCCCCTTTATTATGCTAAGGTTACCCTTTTTCCTTATTTAATTGCGTTTCTACGTTGTCACATTCATAGATAATTCTGCATGCACTAAAAATGGTCTAGTTATTTTGCACCGAGTTTTCTGTGCAAATTTAAATTAGTTTATGTTTCTTATTCGTTATTATTGTTACGCAGCGATGGATCACAGTCGACAAGCTGTTTCGAAATTTGTTGGTTTTAATGAATTCTGCTGAGTCCTAAACTTCTGAATTTGTAACTATATGGTAAAGCTTTTTCTAAGTAAAATACGGATGAACCATTTGGGGTAGTGACTAGGCTGTTGTTTTAACCGACCGCGAAAGTCATATGCTGAAGCACATTTCCCGTCCCAAATTTTATAAGGACAGCGCTGGTGCTTGTCTGTGCGCATTCGCCCGAGTCTCCTAATTAGGATCTAAACCTTGGCTAACCGTGAACACGTTGACACTTTATTTCCATAAAATTGGCAAGAAACTGCACGAATGCCCTCACTTTGTTTTCGAACATGGAACAACAAATTCATAAAAGTTGCAAAATACTCCAAAATGTTGACTTTATAAATATTCATTGAGAGTATGCAAGTTGTGCAGAATATAAACGTGATACAATGATGGCTGTTCACCGAACCGTCCGTAATAGGCGCACAGACGCTTGCTCAATAGACGAAAATACCAGAAAGTTCATCTCACAAAAGGCAATTTACGGCCACTGATAAAAATGAGTCGAAAGTAGTTTTCGCTTTCCAGCCTCTTAAAACAGGATTAAACACTGTCATTTCTTCAAATACTCCAGAAACTATTGCTGGAATGCATTTATCGTATTAACCTCTAAGGAGAGATCAATTGTGGAAATGGAGTTAAGTGCATGAATACACATTGCTTACCATATTACGGCGCGTGAACGATCTCACCTAATGTTAGCCAAAATTCTGGAATGCGTTTCCGATTAGGAAGGATTTCTTAAGTGGAGTTGTTATACTGATTATCTTGCATTATCTATAAAATTTTGGACTCGCCTGGAGGTTGGCTTTTGAATGCATCTCTTTTTGACCTCTTTCAGAAACCACACTTGGTAAAAAAATTATTTAACTAGCATGCATTTCCCCATGGATTCTCGATGGTTTTATAAATTCAAATATATTTTACAGAAAACATGTAAAAAATATGCTTTCTTCTGCTCATCTGATAGGAAATCACACTGACTTCATATTTTATGCCCGAAGAAAGTGTATATTTAGGTTTTAAAAAGTTTCTAATTATGAGATTTTTAAGACCGTGCGATGCCTATGCATGCAAGACCGCACATGCACGTTTACTAATGCTCCTCATCAAATGCACAAGACAGTCCGGGTCCATTGCAAAATTTCCTGAACTCTAAGTGGTATCGTCTTAAAGACATAGAAGAATATGTGATTTTCCTTACGCGGAAAGCACGCAACTTGTAGACTGAAATTGCTAAACGCTGAGGCAATGGCAGATCATGCTGAAAATTATACAGGAATTGAACAACTTTTTTTAAATCTAAATGCACGCTTTCTTCAAGCGTAAAATATGAAGTCAGTGTAATTTCCTATCAGATGAGCAGAAAAAAGCACATTTTTGTGCATGTTTTCTATAAAATATATTTTAATTTATAAAACCATCGAAAATCAATAGGAAAAAGGCATGCTAGTTAAGTTGTCATTTTTTACCGAGTGTGATTTCTGTAGGAGGCCAAGCAGTAGTGCATTCAAAAGCCGACATCCAGGCAAGTCCGAAATGTTATAGGGTTATGCTGCACGATAATCACTATGACAACCCTACTTAAGAAATCCTTCCTAATCAGAAACGCATTCCAGAATTTTGGCTAACATTTCATGAGATCTGTCACGCACTGTAGTTTCCTCAGTTTTAAATCTTAAATTTTATTTACTTTTCGGAGGTGTTATTTGATCATGATGCTACTCCAAACTATATCCCGGTTTGTGAGTGCATACTGGTTCACCATACTCCCAACAGTCTGACCGTAATCAGGCAAACCAAACTTCCTTCCTCTGTTTTGCCTACCTTTCGTCGTGGTCTTTAGACAAGGAGGTTAAACATATTTCCCGCGTCAATCTGGAAAGATGTCAGCTGTTATTCAGGTCTGTATAAGATGATAACTGTTTCGATTTAATCGTCGCTTGGCCAACTATGCTTTTTTTAGTGAGACTGTTTGCATTTCGCCTACCTAACACTCAGATGATTGGGTTTTACATTTTGTTCATTTGGGCGCTATGCAAACAGACAAAAGATTCCTGTTATTTCGAATATCAGTCAGTATCACAGATGTTCGCTCGCAGCCTTTCGCATCTAGTTTAGACTTCTAGGTCGGCTAGCATCTTCGGTCAACAACATCTAGACTAATTGTTTTAGGCATAAGTGTACTTATGACGCTTGGCCCTCTATTCGAGGGAAATAGAAAATAGAACAAGGGGGGGTGGAGAAGCTTGTCACCTAAGCGATAGTGGGAAGAGGGATGCGAAAGACTGAGGGGTCAGGTCAAATTCCGAACCATAGTAGCTTATTTCCCCCTTCTTGAGTAAAGTATCTAGAAACTCTGAGAAGTACCTGCATGTGTAAGATTGTGTCCGAGTGGAAACTGGCCCGCCAGTTCGCATAGAGACTATAATCGCATACCGTCACACATGCCCATCACCTTAACATGTCTTCTAATGAAAGATACGTTCCTCTTCCTCTCTTACTGCTTTCTTTATTTCCGCATTGCTCTTGGTTCGGATCTTCGCTGGCTGTCAACTCCGACGACTGGGGGTGTGTATGCTAGGTAAGGGGTGCAGGTAGCAACCTGTGGAGACTTTGACTTTGAGTAGGCAAGCAACAGACTTCCACTGCCACCAAAACCACCGTCTCCACCTCCCCTGACCCAGTGGAAGCGATCTGATTAGCCAAAGAGGGAGTTTCCGCCCTATGCGCTTAGCTCGCAGACGCGCACACTTGAGCGGCAGCTGTCTGCCAGTGGTCACTTGCAAAGGGTGACAAAGGTACTCTTTACTCCTCCCCTCTCGTTCTCCAGGTCGACCGCATATGATTTTGCCATTTGACTTTGTCTGTCAACAACGTAGTTTGCGCGACGCGCTAGATGGAACCCCCACGTCTAATGGACGTAGCGTGACCAGTGGGTTCGGTTCTCCACCACCACCACCACCACCACCACCACCACCACCACCACCACCACCACCACCACCACCACCACCACCACCATCACGTCCCTCTCCTCCTCCCTCCGGTGCTAACATATCCGCCCATCTTCATCAAATCAGCAGCAACAGATGGCAGTGAACAACAAGTAGTAGTCCATAGACATAGTCTTTGTGAACGGCAACTGTGTGTGATGGTTATTTGACAAGGTCTGGTGCAATTTTCCTATTTTTAAAGTTTTTCTCATGGTCCTAAAATAGAGCTGAGAAATTGCAGCTGTCAAAGCTGACTGAGTCGCTGCACGTTTGCACAGTTCGTGCTCCGACCGTATGACTAACTTTGTAAAAGTCACAAACTGAAACAAACTGTAAGTGAAAGTATAGACTACTGGCGGTACTACTTAAAAAGTTCCCATCGATAAACTTTGCGGAATTCACACTAAAGCCTGCTGTTTGACAAGTTTTTTTAATTTGAGACATTATGCTTTGACTCACTAATCCCCAGCTAATTTCCGTGAAACATAAATCTTCCGTCAGAATTGCGGGAACATCTTAGTAGGTGCTATCCTTTCACCAGTCAGAGGCGTCAGAATTATTCTAGGTAAACAAACGTGTTACAGGGCCGCGTAACACGGAAGTCAGAATCTTGCCCAAAAATATAAAACTCAGCTTAGCGAACTTATGCAAAATCACTGGGTATTCAGTCTAATGAAGTTCATTAATGTTCTATCTGCACTTCGCACAAGCAGAAGCCCCGCATTTTAGCAAATCTCGCTACGATAGGGTCTGGAGTTCATTCTACTGCCGAAGTTGTCTTATAGTTAAGAGAAGTTCAATGTCTGTCGGCGTAGTGCCCGCAGTTTGATTCGTTCGACTTTAGAATTACCATTCCAAGGGGAAGATATGATTGAAGGAGTGTAAATGTCCCAACAAGGGGGGGGGTGGAGAAGCTTGTCACCTAAGCGATAGTGGGAAGAGGGATGCGAAAGACTGAGGGGTCAGGTCAAATTCCGAACCATAGTAGCTTATTTCCCCCTTCTTGAGTAAAGTATCTAGAAACTCTGAGAAGTTGAGCCTTCTGCAGAGGCTGGGTCCTGAAAATGAACGACATCTTAATAAGCGTACCAAGGTGCCCGGTGATGTTTTTGTCTTCCAGAGATTATCATTTCATCTGGAAGTGGGATATGCTCGCAGTCATCACAAATCCAACAATTTTTAAGGAATTTCCTGAAAGAAACTCGTGCGCATTGATGAGAGATTGCACTTACTCCCAACTCTGAGGCAAGTGAAATTCTAAAACAATTTTTCTCTTGGATGGAGGTTAGCCTATGTTTCCCACCATAAAATGCCGTTTCAGGATTTCGAGAATTGCGCTTAACAACGGCACATTTACCTTCAGATAGGTTTAATCAATGTAAAAAGTGCGTTCGCCGATCCGGCAACGGGACATGCTCGTCCTGTTGCTCGCCAGCCTAGAGCCCCGTATAGTGAATAGGAGTAGAGACAGAAGAAGATTGTCGATGGCCATTTCTGGCTCATTAGTCGTCGACATCCAGCTTCACCCAAACTCAAGTTTGCAGCACCTGAGCCACGTTTCTGTGTTCTTGGATTGCTATGCAACTGCCTGTAGAGCTGTAGATCGAGCCGCCAAGCACAACAGTACCAACATGTCCCGTAACGTGATTGGTGAGCACACATCCAACACCTTTAATACTCACTGTCGCAACCGACTGGACTACGAGAACATGGCTCATTTGGTAGAACATTTGACTTACTAACGCCCGATAACTAAAGAGTGTGGGATCGAGGTTCTGGTGTTGCAAGTCTGGGTTTAGCTAAAGCAGCTAATGGCGGCCAATAAGCCAGAAAAGGTCATCTCGGTCTCCCTTGTCTATATCTACTAATTTCCTCCTAGTCATACTAATATTTTTGTTATGAATACTAGTGGTTTAGTGAGGTTTCACACGAATTACATACGCCCAAATTTTCCTCTTGAAGTTAAGGACTGGCAACATGACGATGGAAATATACAGAGGGTCAGAGTATGTTCATAAAGTTTGTGAGTTAACGTCGAATACGCTTACATATAGAAGCGATAGGTTATTATCCTCCTGGAGTAGTATTCCCAGAAACTGCCATATGTTCCAGATAAAAATCCGAAGCCTGTGCCCTGGTGATGAAAGTCCTGAAGCAGCGATGAAAGAGAGGAAGCTGCTACTCATCAAATGCCGTAGAATTTCTGTCGGTGTTTTTAGTTATAGCAACAGGAAGACTGAGTATCGGACAGTAAACGGTACATTTCGGACTGACGCTAAGCAGTCACCCTTTAGTCTTCCGATCCTGAAGATTTCTTTGATGAACGTGTCGTTCTTGTTACTGGGCCGGAGGCAACCGAGCAGACATGTTCCAAAAAAATCCAGGAAGCCTTCGTTGGTGCAGCTGTCCCTAGACCGACGGCTACAGCAACTGCTTCGGAGACCCCAGCTTGTAACTCCACCTCCTGAGCATCACGTTTGAGGGAAAGTCCGTCAACTAAGTACCTCCTTTTGGATAATCTCTTAGAGCGACGGCAAAACTTCTCACTCCGTGCATGAGGCTCGTACCGAGTTTTCCCCTACGTAAGCCTGCGTCTATGTAAATTAAAGTACCGCCCTTGCCTCTTCGGATTGTGAATGGTCGTATAGTCTGCAGCTTACTATTCGGACTCACAAACCCAATTTCCTCGAAGCCCTGTTGACAGACGATTGGTGTCGGTAATTCTCCCTTCGGACAATACAGGAGCATAAAGAGCCAAAGTACCCGAGTATATGAAAACATTTGGTCCCATGGAAATTGAGGTTTATAGAACGGGGGGGGGGGCAACTGAGCCCTCAGTGCAATCGATGGTTAGGTTCAGGCTGGGATGGTGGAAGGAGAGGATGGTATCATACCACGACCGATAGATGGGTGACTGGGCGTACCTTGGAGAGGTGTACCGACGAGGCAGGGGATAGTTGAATGACCTTCCCTGGCACGCCACGTGTTGTCAGCTACATAAAACGCAGCGTTACTCCGAGGAGACCTAAGACCTCAATCAAGGTTAGCCAGGTTGGATCTGACCGGGTTCCTTTGCCCTGTTAATTAGCTTTATGCACCAAATTATATCACGGAGTATATTACACTTACCAGGTTTTTATGGTTGGTGCGTGGGGCATGTTCGCTTCGCCTAGATATAACTGGTTGACAATAGCAAGTGAATCCAAGAAGTTCTCTCTAATTTGACTGTTTTTATCGACAGCATGGACTTCCGTAAGGGGCTCGCTAAATTAACCATATCCGTAGGTCCCCTGAAGGAATATCTTGCATTCAAAACCTGACAACATGCACTTTGAAAAGCTTAAAATATTTGTTGGTAGGCTTAGCGAATATTTTTTGATGGGCGGATGCACAGTTCAGATTTTAGTATTTAGAGGTTTTAACCCCATTTTGTTGTTTCTGCGCCCTCTCTTACCCTCATCAGTCTCCACTTTCTTAACACTCTGTTTTCAATTTCCCCCCCCCTTTTCCAAGACCATCTACTTCCCGTTGAATTCAGTCAGAATCATTTTGTGATGGGATTTCCCGGCCAGTACTTCCACAATACAATTCACCCCTCTGATCCTAGCAGGTCTTTGGAGCTATCTACTTACTGATTTTAATAAGAATTTTCCCGACTTCTGGAAACATGCATGACTGTAGCCAACACTCGATGACCAAATTGGGCTACGTCTGATCTACTTTATTTCAGGGCGTTTAAAAGCGAGGACAACGTTGCATCTCAGTGACATTACGAGTGGCGTCAATTCTTTTTGATATTTTCTTGGAATATAAGTCTCTAAATTGCGGATGACAGCTTTCCATCAGTGCAGGTCTTTGCTGTGCCACTACCGAATTCTTTAACAAATGTGTACTTTTCTTTACAACAGAACACGTTAAGTATAATTATTAATTGAGCCTTCTGGAGGATTCAACGGAGTAAGTCTATGGCGTCCCTGCTCAGATGAAACACTCCAACCCATACATAAGCAGTTTTGAAAAAAATGACCTACTAGGCTTCACACGGCTAATACGTTGAGCACAAGGTGCAGGCTAGGTGAATACTACCACCTTATTCATCCGAATCGAGAAACATCAGCAGCTCTCTGCCAGAAACGACTGATCCGAAGTCACGCCTGCTGGTTTTCTATGGGAATATGCTGTTAGCAATGCAGAGCAACATGACGTCTACTCTCGGCACCCTGATTGGTAATTACTCCCCTTGTTATGTGTATGCTGGTGAACTTGGGTTGATTGCATTGCTTACGGGGCATGGGCGTGAGGTAATCATTCCTCCTCCCCAAACAGCTCCTGAATTCAGGCCACGAGTCGGACCACGAACCCCGCTGGAGCCTTTTCCCACCCCCCCCTCCCCCTCCTCGATGAAATACCTTTCTGGTGCAGCACACGCGACGGCGACGGTTCCATTTTTCGTGCTCGCCAGATTATCTCAGGGTACACATACGCGAGTGTATATGTTTGCATAGTCGTCTACCTGACTTTGTACACAGTCCGCCCGCAGGAGGCGCGTGTATGTTCTAATCCACCGCCCAACTTTATTTAAACCATACGACCAGGGCAATTGGAATTTGCGAAATGGGGGACGGAACACGCGGGGGTGGTGCTGGGACAGTCAGTCTAACACCGGGGAAGGTATTCCCGCGGCTAAATCACACTTCCGAAAATGTTCGCATGCAGATGTTACATTGTTTCGTTAGGTTCTATTTTGTTTGCTCCGAGGTTTGTGCTCGCGAACCCAGGCTAGCCGAGGAGTTAAGACCTCGTGCGGTGGACAAATGGTTTATGACAAACTCTCACTCGCCTGTAACAACCTTCACATTAATGATTCAGCCCGATTTTTGAGACCCCTACTTTTATATGCATGTTCATAGCCGACAGCCATATCTAACTGTGCAGAAAACATTTCGACATCAGCGTTAGAGAGTGTGGTAAAGCGTCCTCTGCTTTCTGCCTTTTGTACTCGTGCTGGCCACTCAGGAGTCTCCTAGACCTTCAAAGCAGTGATTTCGACGATTTCGTCTCCGACCAAAGGTAGACCTTCAGATTTGTGTGCTGTCTTTGCTTACC